TTCATAAATTTTGAAAGTAGGCAATAACATGATTCATAAATTGTATCCCTCGTGCCAACCACAAAATATTAATATTTTTTATTTTTTAATAATCCATGACCGTGGGATGTAGGGAATATGAAAAAGAAACAAACTATGTTAAATAATTAGCCGATTTACGTATTAATGTGTGAGAGTTACTCAACAAACCACGGGAATCCCTTGAGAGAGATTCGTGCGTGATCGTCTCCTAAATTCTAGAAATGGTTAATTTTAGTGGCCATCCCTGGCCTCTTAGGTACATTTACTTTGGTCTCTAATTTTTTTTTGTCTAATTTTTCATCTCTAAACTTTTTAAATTATTTCTTCATCCATCCTCGGTAACAGTTTTTTTTTTTTTTAAGATAATCTCCTCCGTTAACATTTTGTAGGATATAATATAACATATTTTAATGAATTAAGACTTCCAACAATGGTTATTAATATAAACTAGTCATTAGCTCATTCGATTTTGTAAATTAATTATGTTAATTATTGAGTTTTTATTTGAATTAAAGGGACTGTTTCTTGATCTGATGACTACATTTTCAATTTCTTCTCAATCTTTTTTTAATATCTTTTTGGTATAAGGAGCAATGTATTGAATTATATCTTATAGCATGAGGCCTATATGTATCAAGTATATTAAGCTCTAAAAGTTTATAAACACAATGTGGTAGCTTTTCAAAGTAGTGTAATCATCTTGCTGCTCGTAAAAATGAGTAGCTATGAATCTTTCTTTTTCACTATAGTAAATTGGAACATTATTTTATAATTTAAATTATATCAAATTATAAAATAAAAATTATTAAATGGAAGAGAATTCTCAATATTAAAGAGTTTACTCCATATTCAATGGTTAATATCATATAGTTTGATGCCATTTAAACTGTATAATACTTTTTCTAAGGTAAATAATCTCACGAAGCAAAACAAAGATATAATTCATTAGAATATTTATGGATTACAACGAGACAAAACAAAGGTTAGGGACTCAATTGAAAAACTCCCAAAAGGTCAGGAAAGTAGAAATTAAATTTTTCATAAATAGTAGCGAATATACAATAGGGGAACGCGGGATCCGGCGACCATCTTAAATTGTGGTTCTCTTTTCTATTAGTTTCCCCGACGCTAATGTAACCGGCTCTCTCTGTGCCCCCACCTTCCCTTTCCATTTCCATGAAATCTACCATTATAATCTCCATCAAACCTTCCTTTCCTTGATATGCGGGACCTGGGTTTTTAGTCCCAGATTGCCATTTGCAGTGTGCCAAGAACGCACCTAAGGTACAATCCTTCATCCATACAGATGGGTTTGATGTCTGCTAGATGAAACTTTTGATTCTGTATTTGTTTGAGTCCGTGAATGAAAGTTTGGTTAACCATTTGTTGGATGGATGTAGGGATTCCTATTGCGAGTCTTGGCCCTGCAAATTTTTGATCTTTTTAATTTCAACTATCTATTTGTTTCATCCATGGGGATATCAATGGACAATGTTCGTGGACTTGTTTTGGCCGTTTCTTCAAGCGTTTTTATTGGTTCTAGTTTTATTATTAAGAAGAAAGGTCTTATAAAATCTGGGTCCAACGGAACAAGAGCTGGTTTGATTCACTTCCCTCAATTTATTTCATTTTAGAATTCGAATAATCATGCCATCGTTGACCCTTTAATTATTAGTGCTGGTTCTTGGTTGATATTTCATTTTTGGGTAATTGAATTTGTGTCTTTAATTCAATCAGCTTTTGGAGGCTATTCGTATTTGCATGAACCGTGCTGGTGGGTTGGAATGGTAACGAGTAAGTTCCAAAAATATTTTTCCTTCCGGTGAAAGTTGTGAATTTTAGTTCATTCTTGTAATCCCCTCATCGAGCATTCGAACCTGGAATCACAAGAGAGAGAAATATTGAGAAGGAAACTAGAATGGCCTAAGCAAATTATCAGGAGAATAGGAATTTTCCGTTTAATGATGAAATCACAAGAACCTTTATATTAAGGTTAACCATGTTGATGCTGAGTTATTTGGCTTTTGTAGTGGTTGTTGGGGAGATAGCTAATTTTGCTGCTTATGCATATGCCCCTGCAATTCTTGTAACCCCGCTAGGAGCCTTGAGTATCATTTTCAGGTATGGTTGACTTTTCCATTATATTAGTAAAATTATGAGCATTGTCACCCATCCATCTACATAGTGAACATATGTAAGCCAGTGGGTACGCATGCAGACTCATCTTTGTCCACTAGTGTCTAGGAGTGGCTCTGAATAATTTTATGAGAGACCCTTGTTATGCAGTGCAGTGCTAGCACATTTTATTTTGGAGGAGAAATTGCATATATTTGGGGTTCTTGGATGTGTCCTCTGTGTGGTGGGCTCCACAACTATTGTTTTACATGCTCCACGCGAGAAAAATATTGATTCTGTTAAAGAAGTTTGGAACCTTGCCACAGAGCCAGGTATTTCAGAAGCTCCACTGCTACTATTAATACTTCAGATTTCTGGCCCAAAAAGATAAAATTCTAATTTTCTGACTAAAATCAATTCAGGATATATAATATTGCTTGGCCTGTGAATTGGTTAATGAGTTTTAAGTGCTTGAATTTTTGTTGAATATGCATCACTTGATTTTGCTTCTGCAATTATTTATCACCCCAAAAATTGATGAATAAGGCTTCATTGTTCTTTAACTTTTCTGGTTCATAAGAGCAATGTTCTCTTTCCCACCTATAAACTAAATAGGGATCAGCTCAAGGTCAAGGTGCTTGTTAATCTGTGAATGAAACACAATTTGAAAATTATTTAATTTATTTAACATGTCAAAAAGCAGATTAGATTGCCATTGCTCAACCAATTAATCAGACACCTGAATACAGTAAACGAATATCAACATTTCTGTTTGTCAAAGCTAATATGAACATTTTTGTTTTGGCAGGTTTCCTTGTCTATACTTCCATAGTTGTGATTCTGGTTGCTGTTCTTATGTTTCATTTTGTTCCACGCTATGGAAAAACCCACTTGATAGTTTATGTCGGAATTTGCTCTCTGATGGGTTCCCTTACGGTTTGTTGATTATTTCTGGTGTTGTTTCCTTTATGACTTTAAACATGCTCCCTACCATTTTGTACCTTTCCAAAATAAATCATTCCTTAGTTTTCTGCAGGTAATGAGTGTGAAAGCGCTGGGCATAGCTCTGAAGCTTTCATTTTCAGGGATGAATCAATTTGTCTACTTCCAGACATGGATTTTCACAATAATTGTGATTTTTTGTTGTATTATGCAAATAAACTACTTAAACAAGGTAGATGTTGGAGACCTTTAATAAAACCTTCTTGTTTCTTTTCCTTTTGAATTCTCAGATAATTGCTTAGTCCAGAATTCTTTTACAGGCTCTCGACACTTTCAATACAGCTGTTGTGTCACCAGTCTACTATGTTGCATTTACATCGTTCACCATTCTTGCAAGCATGATCATGTTTAAGGTAATTCTTTTATACTAATTTCTAGTTCATATGGAAGGTAACCTGTGCCCTATAAATACCAATATGTACACAAATTAGAGTAGCATGTGCCGTATGGTTCTGAAGTGTCCTTATTGCAATCTCTCTGCATTATGTGACATGATTTGGAAAATTGGAGTCCTGCTTGCAGGTCATACTTCCATTTCTGAGTAGCATAATTGTTATTCTCATGACATGCTTGATCTCAGTTTTTCTTTAGTACGACTGGCTAACATTTGTTAGATAAATAGAAGTTTTGTGATACATTAGAGTTAGAATTTCACTTTAAAAATCAATATTAGTGCATTCACAACAAGATTCTCTCCACCATTTTAAAGGCATTTTTCCTGCATTTCATATTTCTTTCTTTATTTATCTCATAATATTCTGAAATTCTTATATTTCCTTTTGCTTACAAATACAGGAGTGGGCCTCCCAAAGTGCATCACAGATTGTAACAGAATTGAGTGGTTTTGTCACAATTCTATCAGGGACATTTCTCCTTCACAAAACAAAGGATATGGGAACTAATCCAACCATAGAATTAGAAACCCCTGTATTTAGAGGTCCACGCTCAAATGAAGACTCAAACAACAGTTAGCTGCTGTAGATCGTCATATAACAGGTATTATAGATGCTTAAGTAAGCATAACGCCCTCAACTGACACTAACTCCAAATTCAAAAGACATTTGTAGGCATGGAAAGAGAAGACAATTATAAGATAGGTTTTCAGCTGAAAGATCTTGTTGGTTGGGAGAAATAAATTGTGGTGTACAGGGAATAAAAGATTTGGTTTGATTAACTAGAAGACATGGGGATACATTACTGATATATTAGGGATTCTCCATACTTGGAGACAATTCTTGTTTTTCTTTTTCGTTTTTCCTTTCTGTCAAAATTTTCTTTCTCATTTATTAACAGACTTCTTAGAATGTTAATATGAAAGAAATTTTGTTTTTGGGGATGTTTTTCAGAGAAGTATATAGAAATGTAGATGCAGAATCACTTCATGTGAATATCTTTTATTTCAGGACTCATCTGTTTGTGTTTGTAGGATGTTTATGTCTTCAGAGTAGAACACATTTAACCTTCTAAGTTTTTTTTTACTGTACAAACCTTTTTTTTCTACAGTTTGGACTATATTATATTGTAAAAATAGGATATTATTGAATGGAGAGATAGGACTGCACTCAACATTTCTATTACCATAAATACCGATCTCCACATGGAAGAAATGATGATTTTCAGTGCAATAAATTGTTATTTATTTACACACCTCTTATGTATAAAATTTATATAAAATCTTAATTATTCATATCTTTATTATAAATGTTGTGATTTATTATGAATTGTTAGTAAAAATAATTTATTTTTTAAAAAATAAAATAAAAATAAAATCCCAACTCTATTATATACGTTTAATTAGGGACCTTAATCCAAGCAATATTCTAAATATTCTATGATGCAATGTTATTAATAAAATTTAGACACAAAAATATGGTAGATTTCTTTCTCAGTCACCCAAATCTAGGTAATTGTAGATTCAATTGCAGTTTCATCTATAATATATCAAATTGTCATTAACTTGATAGGTAAACAGGGGATGTTCCCATTAACTGAAAAACCTTTTTCTCCCATTTAATCGTGCATGGAATATTGCTAATTAATATTCTACATAAATAATTAAAAAGAATTTCTATTTGTGTATGCAATAATTGCACCTTTTAATATTTAATTTATATGAAGAAGAAGAAGAAGAATTAATATTAATTTTAGTGACAATTGCAAATTAAATTATTTTAAATTGATAAATTGAATGTTTAACTTTTATTTTTTAGAGAAACTCATAATTAAATAGTTAATGTAAGAAAATGAAGAGATTTTTTTCTTTTTTTGTTCTTTATGGAATAATATTTTTTTATTCATAAAAATGAATTACTACAAACTTAAGTAAGAGTACAATGGATCTCCCAATGTGATTGTCTCCAATCCCATTTGCTTACACCTAATTTGCAACACATAGAATGATGCCACATGTCATTCATGTTGGTAGGTATTTTGTTTGTTGAGTTAGTATAGATTTCTCCCAAATAAAGTTTAGTGGTTGTTTCTATATCATCAACAAAGCTATTCAATTGTTGTAAATTTTTAGGAGCATAATCAACAACACCAATAGGTTAATTCATTTGTTGCAGATTTTATGCTATTGTTGGTTTTTCAATATGTTACTACAAATCTCAAACATGTTATCAAGGGGTGTCTACTATTATCAATACACGAAGATGAAATCAAGTAAGATAGACATGCCTCTCTCACGCAACAAACTCAGCACTATTTCTTTTAATGCTTAAGTTTATCCTAGTTTCAAGCTCTTTAGTTTAATTTTAACTCTACACTTCAGCCTAAATTACCCTTCAACCTTAGTTTAAAGTCTTTTC